CCAGTATAAAGTGAATTGAAAAATCAGCAATTGTTATTAAATTAATGTGTTAATTAATGGCAGTCAACTAATGAGGATTGAAATACTAATTAAGTAATATTCCATTTAATTATCTGCTAACGTCCAATAATCCTTCAATCTCTAAATTCCATGATGCGCTTTTACGCACGAGTGCAGATCGCTCGAAGCGATTTCACAACCGATCCCTCAATATTTGCCGAGCGACAGCAGAAGTAGGTAGGCACCGGACTTCCGCCTCCGACGAGGAATGCAATTGAGAACCACTGTTCTAGAACGCGCCCTGGTCGCCGGCACAGAAATAGAACGGTCGGACCTTAACGCGCACTTTTGCGCGTCTTTATGTAACCCGGCCGAATTTATGGCCGGTTATCTATTTAATAATACGCGGATTTACTCGCGCCATTCGCAAAGATCAAACGAACCTACGCACTCACGCACGCACGCACACTGCCGCGCGCGCGCGCGCGAACGGGCAAGCGCGCACGTGCGTATCGCACACACGCGCACGCCTGACGTAAATTTCGCGCCAGTGCGTTCACCTCTTCGATCTCATCGCTCGTTCTTCACGGACGCTTGAATGTCGAGTTGTTAATTCTCCTCGCTCGAGGAACATCGGAAACTACTGTTCGATCGACGGCTGCCTGTCTAAATAAAGGCACGTTCGTAATCGCCGGCTCTTCGTGGATCCATGCCCTTTCGGACTTGCCCCGTTTTCGGGGCATATAACCCTTCTTTCTCTGTACTTAAGGTAAATTGGAATGAAATAGAGAAAATGAAGCAAGAGTATGGATAAATAGAAAATTCCGCCCGATAAATCGTTGTACGAGTTCAATAAATATTTCTCCATCTTTCGAGTACTAATTGGAAATTACCTTTTAATTTACGGAAAAATATTGAGAAGAGGAAAAGGAAAGAGGATAGAGAAAAGAATTCAGCATAGAATGAATGTAGAAAAATTTTTGGTTTGGAAAAAATATTTTCTAATGAGCATGAGCACTGAGAAAAGTATATCTGGTTGGATTAATTGGAATTCTGATTGAAAAATGAATGAATTTTCTACTTAAATCTAAATTTATTTCAATTGAGATAACGGAATTTTGACTGATATAATCAGAATATTCTAGTTTCTCCATTTTTAATCAAACATTTTTTTTTAGAATGAAGATAAAAGAAGCTGGAATTGTAAGTAAAAACTATGTAATAATTTGAATAAACAGGATATTAGATATACAATTAAAAAAGCTGTTTATATAGATTAAGTTTAGATTTAAATAGCAATATTTAGCTAGCGGATCTTTAATTAGCCACTAATTAAAAGATATAGATGTATGTGATTTAAGAGAAATAAGATCCCTCTCGATATGTAAGCTAAAATAATAAAATTTTCTTCTCCTTAATCGAAAAATCATTGATCAAATTTATTAAGAGAGTAGATTTATCAGTTCTTATTTAGCACGAAATTTAAATTAAAATCGAGTTGCTCCCCCATTTCCGCGAGTTTATCTTCATTGAAAGTGTAGGAAGTAATAAAACACTATCATAACTAATACAGTTCGCTGCGGATTGCACTACTTGCTGCTAACAAAAGACCTAGTTATGCAAAAGAGCCAATGAGCAAAGCTCACTTGTCTATCCATCTAACAGCTTATACTTAACTACATTGGTAATCGGTAATCGCTTTGTAATTGACGCATTATAGCAAATAACCATATTCCTCGAATCTTAATACACATTCCTGTTGTACATTTACTACTTCAGTCCTTTCTTCGATTGCACGTATATAAGCTTATTAGTAATTCCCATTTATACACGTATGATTGACGAGTGTACAATGTAGATCGATTCCGCAATTTCCTTTTCGATCCTTGACCTACATAGCTTTTATAAAAATTTGATTGTCGTTAAAATCCTTTGATATAATCTAATAATTATATATGTAAAACTGAATATAATCTACTACTAATTTGCCTGTCTTTTAATATACATACAGAAACCGATATTTTATGTTATATATATTTATATATTACACATATTAAACATTTCTTTCTATTTTATATTATATTATATATATATATATATTATATATGTATATATTATATTCTATATATTATTTTATATTTTTATTTTATATATTCATATAAAAATATATGCAAGAGAAAAAAATGTATAATATACTCTCCAAATTCTTTGGATATTATCTAATCTCACTTGAAAACTAAGCCACCCTTTTTCAAGACTGGCATAATTTTTACTCTAGAGATTTCCACTCTTCAGAATGATATTGACGCTAGAAATTTTAGAGAAACTAACATATAAAATAAAAAAATAGGTATTTAATGTACATAATATAGAAATATATGTAACATACATAAGTATTATAAATATATGTAAAAATATGTAACATACATAAGTATTTTTTTCTGAGATACTCTTTTTCAAGATTTTCATCAATAAATATAGCATTTTTAGTGAAAAAATCCATTGAATATCGTACAGAAAATCGTTGTTTTTTTATATGCATGAAGTATTTCTAACTAACGTGAGATATACAAATCATGCGAGCCAATTCATCGAAAGAGATTCATGACTATACATAGTTCCGCGCGAACAAACTAACGCGAACAAGAGTCGCAATTCGCACTTACGTGTTATCTACTTAGACGGAACGATGTTCAAAGCTATAAGATCGTGTAAGACCAGCTCGTGTGACTGTCAACGCTATTTAGTTTCGTGACGTGTCACATGCCATTACTTTCCGATGATGTGTACGTACGAAATATCAACGTGTACAATTTCATTAGCCTTCTATACTGATCATATCATATAATTAATCGTACAATGAAATCAATGAAATCCGTTAGTCTCTTCGTCTAGAATAAATCTATTGTGAATTTAAGCAATATGTGTAATTACACAATCCGTATTTATCGTCGGGATGATATCTTCAAAATATATTGTATTAAAAACCGTTTCATTTAAATATGCTTCTTAAGTATTACACATATTTTTTAATAAAATAAAAAATTATAAAAAATCCAGATTTTCTGTGTTGCATTTGAAAGTATGAAAAAGCGGCGATTTATAATCTGAGTATCGATCATGTAACTTTTTTTCCAGAGCAGAAACGTGAAAAGTGAAATTTCACTTTTTACGTTTCCGCCCTAGGAAAAAAATAACATAACTCAACATTGACTCATACATTAATCCTCAGAATAAAAAATTATTTTTCAATAAGGAATATTTAAAAAAAATATAATTAATATAAAATGAGAAATTATCATTAAAATTAAATCAAATTATATTATTAAATATAAATGTATAAAATTATATCGTTTAATACAAAAATATTGATCTTATTGAACTGTTTTATATACATATGACATTCAATTTTATACGGAAAGCATAAATTTCCAATTCCAATTATTTTTTGCAGAGACTATACACCTGCTATCCTTAAACAAATGAATGTAATTTCAACGCAATTCAATTTTCTTCTGTGTTAAAATTATTCTTATATTCGGTAAACGATAACAATGCGACACTTGACACAAAATATTTTCACTCTGCATTTCTTCGACATTGTGTTATTTTTTCTATTATATTTCGTCAACATTGCTATTTGGTTTTGCCGAAATGAAAAAATAAATCGCTCCTGACATTCGCGTTATTTGCTCGCTTGTTCGTTCGCTCACACGCTCGTTCGCCGACGATTCATCAATTTCCTGCGGTGTCGAGTTGACGTAACGGAAAGGGTAGTGACGGAATTCCGGCGAGTATTTCACGAACGAATCGCATTCGCGTATCGTGCGCGTTTTCCGTCAATGGACATTTTTCCGTTTGTTAATAGTACGATATGTGGACACATACCTCTACTCGTGGCATTTTCAATGACAGCTGTTGTCACAACGTTTTCCTGTGTGCTCTTTCCTTTTTTTTCTCCTTCTCTTTACTGGTCTTCCGCCGGTCTTCACAGCTGTCGTAGCCATCAATTCCCGCGATTCACTGTTGCGGGAAATCCAAACGGTCCCGGAAAACAGAAATGGCGGCCGTAGCGACAGGCGCAGGCTCCCACGCTGCCACGCGAATGTTTTGCAAAAAATGCGTGCGATAGGATCGAAACGACGACGCGACGCAGAATCGACTTTCGCGGGATCAATTTTCATTATCGAAACGATCACACGGTAAGTCGAGGAAAAAAAGCGGCGCGGAAATGGCGAAAATACCAGCAAGTGATTCTCGGCCGGAGCGGACAGCGTCGCGAAAATCCACGCGAGCTGTCGATCGTTCGCACGGAAGATCACCGGCTGGCGGACAGACGAGGACTGAGCGAAGTAGTCGAACGCTCGTGGATCCCCTCTCTCGCTTGCACGTTCCGTCCTTCCGTCTTCTCTTCCTCCCTCCTTCCCGCCGTGCGTCGTTCGGCGACATTCGGCAACTCTCGCTCCGTCTCGCTCTCGCATTCTCCCCTCTCTTTCTCTCTCTCATACCTTTTCTCTCCCTCTCACTCTTTATCTTTTATGTATTAGTTTTTCTTTTTATTTCACATTTTTTTTCTCTCCCTCATGAAAAGAACAGTTTTGTTCTTTTCTAAAATATCTAAAATTTAGCTAGATAACACCTGAAGATAAATTTTGTTTGGTTGTCAAATTAATTATGTAGGACGCTCAAACTAATTGGTAGAACGTCAAAAATTTTTTGCAGAATCGTTCATCATATTTGAGTTTCTTACATTACATAATTTTTTCGACAGCTCGACAAAATTTATTTTTAGTATTTCTGTATTTATCTACGTTTTTAGTTTAACAAAATCGTTTTTTCCATGTTAAATTAAAATTTGCGATCTTTGTCACTTTATTTTCTCGCCGTTGTAATTATACTGTATTTTTACTCTCTCTCTCTCTCTCTCTCTCTCTCTCTCTCTCTCTCTCTCTCTCTCTCTCTCTTCTATTTCAAATTTATAATTCTTTATTATTCTATTTTCTCTTCGTTGTAACGACACTGCAATGTCATGTATTCTTACGTATTCGTTCTTAGAGGGCTCGTCCTAGAATCGTAATAAACGCTCTATCTATCTCTCTTTGTCTTCTCTCTCTCTCTCTCTCTCTCTCTCTCTTTCTCTTTCTCTTGTTTTTCGCTACCAACCGCCTTTGCACACATTAGTGGAGCGTGCGCGGATATAAGAAGGAGGGATATATACGCACGAGGTCGGAAAATATGATAATCTCTCACTCTCTCTCTCGTGTGCCAAAGAGACACAGAACGTACGCGACGTACATATGTATCTCGTATGAAAATCTTCTTAGCGATTTTCGATAGTTGAAACGAAGAAACAGCGCACAGTAAAGCTAGTAATGGTTCGTCTTGAGCGAAGGAATGGCGGAGAACGTGCTAATATAATAGCGTGTTGTATGTGTGCATGTGTGTGCGTAAGAACGGAATAATATCACGACGTAATGCACAATGTTCCTGTTACAAGACATGTCAGCTTTGGAATATACGTAGAATATTACGTGATTAATGATACGAATGTAAATATTTCGAAGCAACATGTGTTTCGTGACCAGATTCAAGTGCAGCACGTTTGTATACATCATAAGCACGTCTCTCTTCTACGCTTAATATTACGACTATGATTAGAATAGATAAATTACGTAACGATTTAACTGATACTCTCATATCTATGTATTAATTTTTATTAATTACGTGACGTTTCGTACAGAATGTAAGATGGAATTGTAAATACCGTTTACACAACTTTCAATAATTTAATTTTCCAAAGCTGATGGTGGATCTGTTGAACCCACTTGGTTAGATTTTTTTTTATAATTATAGGAATTATAAGAAAGTTAGAAGATATTTTTTGCAATAAATTATTTACAGTTTTTAAAATAGTATAAAATTATTATAATAGTATAAAATTAAGCTTATAATAGTATAAAATTAAAGAATATTCTTTATATTTTTAGGTTGTATCTGCAAAGGACGTCGCACTAAATTATATGGAAAATTAGATCTCGGTGAAAGAAATGATTTTCTCAAATAGCTTAAAATGTAATGAATAAAAAATGTCATAAGTACAAAATTTAATAAGGAATTAATATTTTATATATCAAAGAAGCTCTGTGAGCACAAGTTTTATATCTTTGATGTAACTCAAAAACTGACATCTTTTGTCCATCGTATTATATCATTTGTGAAAATTAAGTCATAACCAATTTTCAATATAATTAGGTCCTTTAATGAGAAAGTAACATTACAGATTAAATTGAATTATTTATATATACGTATTAACAAAATTTTAAGAAATATTTATGCGAAAGTTTATTTGGATTGACTTGTTTAAAAATTATTTACTTAAGAATGCAGTAAATCACGCTGTATAAGCTAAATCAGTCATAGATCGAAAACTATAATAATAATAAATATTATTGTTCCTCTTCTGCTCGTGACATCTTTTGTTCACATTATAAGTCACATTATACGTGAAAACATTTCACTAAAGCGCAATTTTCTATATAATTAGTGTTTCTATATAATTAACGTTCTTTGAATTATTAAAACCAAACTTAGTACTCATTCTTTTGTATACGAATCGTTTTTTGCATGCATCGTCATTTTGTTTCCTTGAAATTAATTAGCGTTTTAGTTAACATAAAATGGGTCTCACAGACCGAACGTCAGTATAATTGTGTTACAGATTTTGACGTCAGCTTCCGAAGGTTAAATGTCTGAAGCGAATCAAAGGGCATTATGACAAGAGTTTAAAAAACTATGGAATGTAATAAACGCGATGGAAATTTTGTTACATAAAAGTATACATACTTATATATAAATCGATTTTTAATGGATTAATAAATACATAGGACAATAATTATCGATCTGTTTATTAAAATACTTTCTCGTACACTGCATGTGTTGAAAGTTATTTTTATGAAATTATCGATATTAAATTATTGCTTTGAGGAAGATCAAAGATCGCGAGTGAGTTTTTCCCCCAGTTATACATTAACGTACAACAGTTATTACATTATGTCGTGATTGTCGTCTTTTACACATGACAGCATGCTCTTCTATAGTTGCGTAGCTATAAGCTTTCGAAATAGTTTCGCGAAATGGCCGTAACTCTTGTTTCACCTCCGAGAATTTTCTCGGGAGCTCGAAATAGCAAAATAGCGACAAAACGATCGCATTCTATATTTTAACGATACAATTTTCAGTCCAGCGAGTGTCCACTATAATTGTCTTCTTACGTGACATGAATTCTTATACGATTGTTTATTTGTGTACCATTTCATGTTAATTTTATTTGCGGCCTAAAAGAATTATACTATATTAAGTTTAACAATGAAAAACAATTCATCCGGATTTTGGTTTAAGTTAATATGTGCGATTTATAGTAATTTGTGCTTTTTAATTTCGTATAAAAAAATACTTCAGGTTTTATTATTATCAAAATTAATTAAATTATATAGTCGAAATTAATCGAAATTATTCAGATTTCCATAGAAAACATAATAAAAGAGAATAATAGAATAATTCCGATCGAAATCCATTCTAAATAATGACGTATTCTGAATTGGTAAGAATAATGAATAACAAGTACAAACTTGACGAATAGTTAAGAAATAGAAGTAATTACTAGTCAAATAGTAGTCACAAATAGTAGTCAATATATAATTTTACGATAATTTTGTATATGCGTGTGTGAGTCGATCTGTTTTTCAGTTCATATTACAGTAAAAGTTAATAAAATTCTTATTACAATCAATTTAAGAACATGATATTTTAAATACTAGAATATCTTAAATATAAAATTTGTAAGATTCTTTATCTGAGCAAAATAATAAAATTACTTATTATCTAGTTGATAATAAGTAGTACAATACTTTTGCAGTAGTACTTTTTGCAGTTACAGTTTATTCATATTATTCGTGAATTGTCTCGAACTAGAATTCGTGTATAGTCCGATGCTATTTTTGTAGTATCTTTAAAGATATTAAAAAACACTGCATTGTGCATGTATAAAATACAAAAACCGAAATGCTGGGTCAATGCGTTTTGCGTGAAGTCAATGTCGAAGCGAGTTTTAAATCAGCTAGGCGAGGCGAGTTTCGAGCTCATGAATTACAAAAGGATCATTCCAAAAAAAGAAAAAAAAGATATACGCAACCATTGAATCTAATCTATAGAAACGATAGATGAACGTTGGCGCATACGCAAAAAGTACGATAGAAGAAAGAAATCCTATAAATATGAAAGGATAAAAAATCGTAGATTTTTTTTTTCCAAAAGAATATAAATTCGAGTTACATGTGTACAGAAACTTGGAATTCGTGTATTCTTTAACGCGATTTCGAAAGTTATTCCCGTCGGATTCGAGAAAAACACAAGATTTCACAATACAGAATATTCTCTTATTGAAAAATATTATTGGACTCGCAAAAAATTCTGATAAAAATTTAATATAATTTTCAATTAATAATAATTGTATTATTGTACTTTTTTTATTTAGTAAACAGAAAACTGTTTACAGAATATCAATTAAAATGTACCGTTTTTCCGTAGTTGCTGTACAAAAAAGAAGTAGTATAAAATCTGAACTTAATTATTTAGCAGCAAAAGAATATTAAATACTCATGTTACTAAATTAAATCGGTATGACGGATACCTAACCTGGAACAATGAATTGAAACGATTAACAACATTAAGTAAACTGAAAGTTGTAAAAATTCACACAAAAATTATTAAATAATAAAGACCCGTTTTGATCAAATATAACCTTCTTCACTCATTTAAAATGACAAATATTTCGCTTCGCGAGGCAGAGCGACGCTTTTCATCTGCTATTCTTTTATTTCGTATAAAAATGCGTCTAATGAATATAATTTTATTAATATTGGAGCTGAGGCCGCTAAATTGGAAAATTACCTTAGTTTTGTTCACTTATGTAGTATTTTTGTTGAGGGCTTAACCATATTGCCACCTATTGCGCAATATTAGGGTAACTCTGGCAAATACGCCACGCTGGGATTTACGCACAAAAGTCAGAAAAAATAGAAGGAGTGGGGGGTAATTTTCCCGCAATTACTCTGTTACATGCCTTTATATTAGTATTATAATTTCAGCTTCTTACTTAATATTAATGAAATTATTGTAATAAGTAGCCCATCATACCATCATAAATTATATTCTACATAAAATGATTATAAAATGTATAAAAGTCTTAATGGTTATTTCATGATAGAGGAATAGTA